CGTGGCAGTTCTTGAATCCCGGCTTTTTATCGAGTGTTGCAAGTGCCATGTAGCGCATCACATTGTTAGCAGCTCCTGGCGGATGTTCTACACATCGCTCCAACCGTCTCGAAAAGACTACTAGGGGTTTCTAGTTGTTATCTGCCGATTTTCATAACACCACACTGATTGATGGGTCAGGGATCCTTTTAAAGCAACAGAATGTCCGGATCCAGTGTGTTTAGTGAGCTTTGATCTTACTGTAGATAATTCGGATGCCTTGATGAGAACACTTGTTATCTCATTGAAATCTGAGCTACAGTATCGCAGCTGGGCCACTTGTGCATTAAAACATTTGAATGTATAATAAGACTGTGAGCAACATGATGAACCTACTTATATAGCTTAATCCGGTCTACTCTAATCTGAGAGCCACAATTTCTAGATTAATTAGTTTACGAAGAGAATAGAACAGTCCTGTTAGAAAGTAAAGAAAGTGAGGGAAAAGCGGTGTAAATAGGTTGCCGTTCCTGTTGACTCCATTCAGTTGGTTGATTAGTTAGGGTTAACATCATTGAACTTCAGTAAAATAATTGGATACTCGGTGGCTACTCTTACGAGGATAAGAAACGTTCAGTTTGACCGACTTATTCTCCTTGGGTTGGTTGTTATACTGCTGGCTCTACGAGATCACATACCTATTTGTTTGGGAAAGCAGGAAGTATTTTGGTGTATGTTATTCTATGTTATGAGTGTATATATATCATGCATCGTAAATTATGCTGAAGGGGTCTTGAGTTGATACGTCCTACTGCACCACTCAATTTAAGAGCATCTGTCTGTCAATTCAACATAAAAATTCCCGAAATTCATGGGTGCCCGGATTGTACACACAGATGTCTTGCATGATAGAACTGGGTCATATAGATGTAAAGGTTGTTTACTAATGTTACCTAGAAGATACATAAACGAAAAATGATGAAGGTTGGAATAAACAATACCTTTGGTTGGAAGCAGGGATTACAAAGATAACTGAGTGTAGAGAAGTTTCACATGTTCCTTGGTGAAACATAGCCACGATGTTTGACTAAGTGCTTTCAGATATTAGTCCTCGTTGAATAGTATGAGTATACGTGTCAAGTGTCTAAATCTGGTATGTCCTCATTTTTCTTGTCTCCAAAAACAGGAAATGCACGAGGACACTCTGGAAAATCTCGCGAGCTAAGAAAAGTATTAGATGTCAGATGACCATTAATTTCCTCGTCGAATCATTGACAAGTGGGACTCATAGCCTCAACACGCGATTGAAGCTGCATCAGTTGACGCTTTCAAAAGAGAATTTCTTCAGCTGAGAGATCATCACTGTCAGGACTCACACAGGCTACTCAGCCTTCCATCCTTTGAAAACTGAGACTGAAAGCCGTTTACGTTTTGGCGTTTCTCATCGCCTCATACCTAATGAGTCAATGTATCGATGACTAAGATTTAGACCATGGACGAGCGGTTGAGAACTTTGTTGGGCTAAATATAGATGCTCGTTGTCTTATGAGGATCATCGAACAGTCACATAGATTCGTACAATCTGTTAACTCCCGAGGAACATGGGTTTCGTAACTAGAGTTCATGCTTGACTAACTTATTGGATTAGAGCATTGTACAGCAGCTCTAGATAATGGCTTGTCTGTCGATGTAGTATCCATAGATTTTAGAAAATTGTTTGACAACGTTTCACACTTAGATCTTATTCAGGAGCCCTCGAGCTTTTGAATAACACGTGCTGTACAGGAATGGATAAGAAACTTCTTATGTGACCGCAGACGGAGAGTGAGGGGGAATGGAGCGCTATCCGAATGGAAGTCGGTCAAGAGTGATGTACTTCAAGACGCCATCTTGGGCTCTTCACTTTTCTTTCTCTATGTTATTGAATTACTGCTATTACTTAAGTCGTCATCATTATTGTATGTGGGTGATGTCAAAATCTGAAGAACAATAAGAAGTGAGGCTAATCGTTTTCATCTTCAAGCTAACTTAAACGAATTAGTTAGATTGGCTCGTGGTTGGGGATTAGAAGTTAATTCCAGGAAAAGCGTGCTCATGCACATCGGACACGGTAATAGATACCATTATGCCACTTATGGTACATATCTTCCACGCGTTCAAGAATATAAAGACTGAAGAGTAATAATAAGTCACGACTTGAAAACAACTACGCACTGCAACGCAGCTGCATCCAAAGTTTATCGTGCGTTATGGTAACTTTCCCGAGCATTCAAATGCTTTGACGAGGAGATGCTTCGAATTTTGTATCCCACCTACGTAAGACCACACTTAGAGTACTTTATCAGACAAGCGGCTAGCGCATGTCTGATAAAGGATACTAACTCACTTGAGCGTGTCCAGCGTGTAGGGACAAAATTAGTGAGGGGTCTTTCTAAACTCCCTTACGATAAGCGTCTAAACCTTTGCCCCTTGTCTTATCGTAGGAAGTGAGGTGACCTTATACTGGCATTTCGTATGATTTATGTGTTAATGTCTTGTCATTTTGCTCCTTACACCACTGATAATCTCCAAGATCATAGCAAGAAGGTTCACAAACCGCGATCTAATAAATTCAAAGTCAGGTCCCGTTTTTCTCATCGAGTGATCAATGATTGGAACGCCTTACTCGAACAAGTGTTGTCAACCCCATCGGTGAACATTTTCAAGAAGCTGAATTATGATAAACAGAAGTATTTGAATTGTAGTATAAACTAGTAATCCCGGGAATAACGCAATTTAATCAAGAAGTATTAGATGAGCCCGAACGAATGTATTGTATTTGGAATTCAAAATTACAACAGTCATCAATACCAAGAAGTCATTGATTTATTTAAACACCACAACCGCCACAGCTCGAATTGGAGTGTAAGTGTCTGTAATCGATTGTTCGTCTTCTTCTTAAGCTCATCTTACATCGGTCCGAAAGTGTATTGGATGTAGACTCTGTATTATCTAGAATGCACTCATTAGTATTAGAATTAACAACCGAAATTGGAACAGACTCACCTGGGTTCTGGAATTGTATACAATCAGCATGCCGGCTTTGTAGTGAAACCATTGATATTCAGAATTTGCATCATGGACGTTCCAACAATATCCTCCCCCACGAAATAATGTTGGGTCCTTACTTCGCAATGTTTTAGTCAATATGACGTTTCCAATTTGCATTATCTTCTCAAATCTCACGCATCGACTACTGTATTTGAGTATTTGGGAATAAACACTGATATATGATTTGAGGTATTCCATCACGTGACTTTGACTTGAATAAAAGTCATGATACATATACTTTTTGTTATTTATACTAGAATATACAGATGGATATGCATTGATATATGTAATTAACACATGTGATTCAACTAGGCTTGATTTACCTGCGAAACAATCGAGTAGAAAACATTCATCTGCCTCATATTCATTAGGATAATCTTGGACTTGATTGGGATTCTCTGTCTGTGCAAACTTCACTTCTGGGCAAACTGGTTCTCTGGTTGCTTCGGGAAATTTTGCTTTTCCGTCTGATTCATCGTACCACTGACTAGAGATTCTACTCGAAACACATTGTTCGTGAGAATATGCAACATCTGATACAATAACATCACAAATGTGACTGGAATTCAACTCATTAGGAACATATTTGTCACATTCATTAGGGATACCATTAGAGATAAATTGACTGTGAGGACCACTGACACTTGATATGATATCAGAATTCGACTTCTCTGAAATATTTTCCTCAAATTGAATAAGAGTTTCATTAGAGAATAATGGATCATTCGAAAAATCAGCATCTACCAAAAGTGAATCCAGTTTTCGCTCATGATTCGACTAATTCAACATTTTGTTCTCAGAGTTGTAAGAAATTACATCAGAAGTATGTGAATTGTTAAGACAAACCATATCTGGTACAATAACATGAGAAATCTGATAAGTTGGTTGGTTGGGAATTCTCGTCTCCCAATGACTCTGGATTTCATTCAACTCTGGACTGTCATATAACGTTATACCTCTTCTAGATAAAGATAACTGATCATTAGAAGCATCCATCTTAGCATTACTTTCAGCGAAATGAACCATGGTATTACAAACTAACTGAGTATGTCCAGTTATACCACATTTAAAGCATTTAGAATTACGAAATATACATGAATTACATATGTGAAACTTGCCGCAGAACAAGCATTTATTAAACTCGTGCTCATCATCATGGACTGTTTCACAGCTCAATGAAGTATTATCTGAATAAATTTGATTACGCATCGAACTGCGACGACTTATTAAAAAAGTGGAATTCCTGAAGTTCTTGCGAGTCATTTCATCGGATTTTCCTCTGTTACCGCATTCCGAATTTGTATACATTACATGATCCAACAGTAGTTACTTGAGAGTTGCATAGGGGAGTGAAATCGGTTTGTCTGGAAGTGCCAAAATCTTTAAAGGCTGTATGCTTCTTTCCCAATGAATGTAAGGAAATGGGCCACAATATTAAAATCTTCATCATCTTCCTTGGTCAAAGTTCAGATTTCGAACCTCTCCATGTACTCCTCAAAAGCATTAAAATCTGAATTTATATTTAACCGTTCCATCACAAGCTCAGTCGCGACGCCAATATGACAATCAGAAGTATTTGAATTGTAGTATAAACTAGTAATCCCGGGAATAACGCAATTTAATCAAGAAGTATTAGATGAGCCCGAACGAATGTATTGTATTTGGAATTCAAAATTACAACAGTCAGCAATACCAAGAAGTCATTGATTTATTTAAACACCACATGAATATTCACTGAAATGCAATTTGTCAGGATTAACACAGGTTCACCAACCTACTACCCTCATTACTGAAGACTGAGAGAATGGTCTACTACCTCATTGAAGTTAATGTTGGACGTCGATCGTCGGGTTGTGTTTTCCGTTGTGAACGCTACACCTGCGTGGTGGTGTTCAAGTTACAGAACCCTACACGCTTAAACCCCATTCAAAATGGTTGATATTGAGTCAAATGAAACCGGCGATGATAAAGTGATTGCGGTTGTCAATGGCGATTCATCGAAAGGAGATTCTCTGACTAAGCCGGAAGATGTTCAAGATGAGACGCCTTACACGGTTAAAATAATTCCAACCCATTCAGATCCTTTCGAGTTACAAGTAATAAGTACTAATAAAACTTCACTATTTTTAAGGTGAGTTCTTTTGAACTTGTTCAAGAAATACATCGTGTGTTAATGGATCGAGAAGAAACGTGCAGTTGCACTTGTTTTTCTTTGGTTCTAAATGGTCAGACACTAGATATGTTTGCAGAGTTAAAGTCAGTTGACGGTTTAGCTGATGGCGTCGAACTGAAAGTTGTGGAGGGTAGTCTACGACTGTCTTTACTAAGCTTCTATTTTAGAGCGCTACAGTGTTCGGGAAGCCAAAAATCATGTTCGACACATTCATGATCTCCTTCATTCAATCGAGCCTTACGATGCATATGCCGGTAGAGAACAGATGTCTCTGTCATTTGTCAATTCAGTAGCAGGAGAGCTAGGTAAATTTGATCAAATCCCATTTTTGATTGTGATAACAATACTGCCTTGTATGCTCTTGACTTACCAATGGGTCGACCAAATGACTCTATAAGGTGATTATGACAGTCGATTGATTGCTCGTGGACATTCACTGGCTCTTAAAACTAACTAATAAGTCAAAATATGGTGGAAATCAATGTGCAAGTATTAGGTCATTTTCTTCAACGACTAACTAACAATTAACTATATGCGATTTCTGCACCGAAAATCGGTATGTCTCCCCCATAAGGCTTTTGTCTTAGTGATCAGTCTTCATATTACTTCTATGTTGTATGGATTTCATAATGTGTACGCACTGAGCAGTTAAAATAATCAGTATATACATAATCTCCCATCAACTTCCAGTTTTTGTATTTTAGACAGTCGCAAAATAACAAACTTGCCATATCAAACGCTGCAAACTTTGGTAGCGGTTAAGTTATTTATATTAACCTGTGTTAAGGTTTGTAAGTTTTTCAGGTAGTGTCGTTAAATTATGTAGGTTGGGAACTGTTAAGTGGTAAGTTTCGAATAGTATCACTGTTTTTGGTGTTAATGGGCGTTACACAAATCACAGAGTACATAATTACCAACTATCTTGATCTGTAGCTCATCCTCATATTCAAATTATTCATACTGCATTTATGAGATCATACTTTCTTAGCAGTTTGAACCATGTAGATGTAAAATGGGGTGAATAGCGTTTTGAGAACTTTGATAAGTCTAATCTGCAGGTTCATTTATCATATAAGTCTTAGGATTAACTCACTTAATTCTTTATTTTTCCTTTAGAACGCAAGCATTTCCCTACTCGGTTAGATATGCGTATTGATTTCATACCACCTGATTATGTGATGCCCGGTTTTGGTGCAAACACCAACCTCCCATTATTGCCTTTACATCCTTTGGACCGTGACGGAAAGCCAGTTAAATGCGTTCGCCAATTAAATTATAGTAACTGGAACCCTCCACCACCTGCAAGAAGACTATTAGGAGATCTGATATATTTATTTTTTCACACGTTAGAAGACAAAAAGTACCATATAACTGCTTGTCCCAGAGGATTTTATGTAAATATGTAAGCTAAAATATCGTTAATTTTTGCGCATTTTCATATTCAGTGTATATTTGTTCTGGGTCCTTACTTGGTGGTTTCACTAATGATTTGTATTAATAAACATCCCAACTGTTCTCTTAACAAAGTTGGTACTACAACTAAGTTAAACCGAAAAACAGGCCTTGATGTCTGAACCTAAAAGTTATTTTAAAATGGTTGTTCAGAAATAGTTAGATTGGCTGATTTTTGTTATCCTGAGGGAATTCTTATTAACTTGCCTCACACATGGTCTTGTGATGATTGGTAAATAAATGGACCACTGTTTTTATATTCTTCAATTGTAGCTAGTTATCTTTTTCTTTTGTTTTCCACGTTTTGGCGAGACTACACCTATGTCGTAATTTCGTATTCGTATCGAAGGGCGAGAAAGAAATTAATCTATATTATTGTATGAGTTGTCACATAAGATATACTGCTGGACTGCCTGGTGTGTATTAGCAGACTGAAGAATGGCTAGATAAGGGGCTTACGTCTTGGACTAATAAGTTAGGGTTGTTCTCGCCCTCAAACTCAAGGTTTACTTTGGCAGTTGAAACGTACAATTTGTTGTAGCTTAAGACGCCAGTGATGACCAAAAATATTGTAAATCGGGTTCGAAAATATAGCTAGGATTCTTATTGGCAAATCGCTTTTCTCTCCAGATACTGATCAGCATGCAGTCATAACAAGTTCCATCTGTGTCGTATGAGTGTAAAGCAGATTTTAAGGATGAGAAATACACATAGACTGCGTTAAAGCATTGGTTGCAATGGAAACATCAGTCGAGTAATACTAAGGTGCTTAGGCTGCTTGGTAGGGATAAGAACTCGATTGCTCAGGTTCAAAATCATCTACGCAATTTGTTGTAATACTATCTACACGCGATCAGCCACTTTACATGTGTTGTGTTAGGTAGTTTATAAATAATCTAAAGACATTAGATTCGGTTAAACATGATATGTCAATTTGTGATATCATTTATTGTTATGGGTCGTACTATAAGGTATGGATGTGGTAAGAGTCCTAACCTCAGTTGCATTCTTTAGGTCACGTGATTTAGAGTTAAACCCAGTGACACATTCATTCTTTATCAAAATTTTGACCTTTATTCTGTACTTACCACTGTTTGACCTGGTCAGTTTGATTTATTTTCAGTCCTAAAGATTGTTGGTAATACATTACCAGCTTTTTGTCGATTTCGTATGACTCTCCTGATGCTAAAAAGTGGTAACACTAATCGACGCATATTTATTCTGGGACCTGTGTGTTTTTGTGTCTGATGTTGATGACAACTAGGGATGGGGTTAGACGGATGTCCGTCTACGGCGATAAGGTCCCACCATGTACGGAGCTAACACAAAAGCTACCTACAAAAAGGTCGTGTGTGACTGACCTCAAGCAGTTGTCCTTTGGGCACTGCGGTCACACTCTCAGGTCACTGAGACCACTTTTAATCCACTTTCCTTTTCAGATACCTCTAGAGTAACCCTTCCACAGTGTGGGCAACCAGGATCATTGTATTCATAATCAATCTCCTTCAATTCCTATCATTCCTTCTACCTCGACTTTCAACACTGAACTTCCTCTTTCGGTTTCCTCAAGTGTCACCAAGGCCAATGATTCTAGTGCGCAAAACACTGTCCCAGTCCTACTGAAACCCCGCTCCAAACTACACATTGGAGCCTCCAATGTACGTACGCTATGTCAAATCGGCCAGCAGTCGTCCTTGGCTAAAACCCTAGATTCTCGTACCATTGATGTATGCCGTCTCCAAAACGCACATACAGGATCCTAGTGTGGTCATTCACTTAACCTCACCTCGCCAAAACGGAAAGCCGATGAGATGCACCTTCCGTGTATCAGGTGACCCTGTGGCTAGTTCTCGTGGACATGCAGGCGTAGGCATAGCACTTAGTACGAGAGCAGAACAAGCACTGTTTGAGTGGATCCCCGTTAACAGTAGTCTGTGTGCTGTCCGGCTAAATGGCTCCGTAAGAACTCGGAAGGATAGGAACACACGTCGTTGCCTTTTCGTTGTTTCTGCCTACGCTCCCACTGACTTCAGCCCGGATGAAGTGAAGGATAACTTTTACAGAAAGCTCTCTGAACCCCTTTATAACGCTAAACGCTCAGACATAATACTCGTTTCAGGTGACTTTAATGCCTAAGTAGGTAGCTTAAACCAAACAGAAAGACATTTAGGTGGGTGTTTTAGTATTCCGGCTCAGCGAACAGATAATGATGATCATCTATTGCAGCTATGCTCAGACGATCATTTATTTTTAGCAAGCACTAATTTTAAGCATAAGGAGAGACATCGTCTAACATGACGACCACCTGCACCAAACTAACGACGGACTCAAATAGACCATACTGCCTTCAGTCATTGTTGGAGAGCCTATATAGAAGATTGTCACTTGTACTGGAATACATGTTTAAACTCTGATCACGCTTTAATACGAGCACGTATCTGTTTGTGCCTCACTGGAGGCAGAAAAAATACACTACAAAGACCCATTAGACTTGAACTGAGTGTCGATAAAGCCAAAAGTAAGTTCCAGGAACAACTGAGTTCACATCTAGGCAGTTCTGAAAACAAGACTGACTCAGATGTTGCCTGGAAAGATATATATTGCTTGGAATAACGCTCTCGTCGACTGAATTTTCAGGAATTAATCTCCTAGCAGAAGGTCCACTTATCGACTTAGAATATGCAGATGACATAGTCCTGTTTGGTGAAGACACTGACAAAATGCAAAGTCTTCTGTTGGAACTCAGTAATAATGCCAGGATGTTCGGGATGCGTTTCTCCCCATCCAAATGTAAATTGTTACTCTAGGACTGGCCTGCATCAACACCTGAAGTAAGGATAGGGAGTGAAGTAGTCGAACGCGTTGACAACTTCACTTATCTTGGAAGTCTGATCAACTCTAAGGAGTTGGTGTCTGACAAAATCTCAGCACGGATTCAAAAAGCTCGTTTGGCTTTTGCCAACTTACGTCACCTATGACGAAGACGAGATATCCGTCTATCAATTAAGAGACGAGTATACTGGGCATCAGTTCGTTCTGTTCTACTTTACGGCTGCGAAAAGTGGCCATTAACAGTGGAAAATACTCATAAGTTACTAGTATTTGACCACAGATGCCTTAAAAATATTGCTCGCATCTGCTGGGATCACCGGGTAAGTAATAGTAAGGTTAGACACATGGTATTAGGGAATGATGGTAAATCAGTTGATGAGGTTGTGAACCTTCATCGACTGAGATGGTTAGGCCAGGTGTTACGTATGCCTGAACACCGATTACCACGACGCGCTATGCTGACTAGTGTAGGGGACGGTTGGAAGAGAAGTTCGGCCAAACCAAAACATGGCATCAGTGCTTGAAGTCACTAACTTCTAGTCTGAGCCATGTTGGCAGATGCAGACTACTTGTTTGGGGTCCGCGTGACTATCGTAACCAATGGTTGGAGACTCTGTGTGACATGGCTCAGAATCGATCACAATGGCGTATTTGTATACACTCTTTGTCTTACCTTAAACTGTGTGATTAGAATTGCTTCATGTCTTTCTTCCTGTACTATATCCTTATATACAACCTTTATTTTATATATTACCACCTCTAAATTAACTACTTTTATGAATTTGGTATTCGTCTTGTTGTGTTAACGATGTATGGCAACTTGGACCGATGCATAAATTTGCCTGGTCCTACGTTGTAGCTGACTGACTGAGCAATCCTATTTTAGTAGAACATCGTTTTGAACCATTAGAGTTGAAATAAGATTAAGGCCGTGCTTAAAACATGCATAAACAAAATATAATTTCACTTCTGTAATCAAAGCGTTTGATGTAGGAAGATCCCGGTGATCAATTAAGTTTTGACGGATTTGATCAAATTTAATGGCTAAAATCCAACAAAATGCTTTTTGTTGAGTCCGTTTCTGAACTTCTTGAATGATATTAATTTTGCAATTGTTTTACTTGGTTAACTGCTGTGTGTGAAATGTGATTTGATTTTCTTCCATTCCAGGTCCACGGATGATCAGTTTAATCCCCACCCCATACAACATGCTTATGTAGCACATTCTCTGATCGATCTCCTGCGTCAACTTAGCCCAGGATTCAAGCGCAATTTTGAGTCTCTATTAAAAAATCGAGCTGCTAAACACCCATTTGAGCGTGTTCCGACTCCGTATCAAATTCATTCCTGGTTAGCGCCGCTAGTCGAACATTCCCCAGATTCTGTAAGAAAAGAAGAAGGTATGTGGATTTGTCTAAGTTCTCATTTTCACAAATCAGATTTTCCATCTTCACTCCCCTCTAACTTGAATATGAAAAGGCGTCTTAATAATAGATTATACCAGTAATACACTTGTTAATCAAGTCAACAAGGAATGTTCTAGTTTACTTATCGTAAATCAACGCAAGTAATCCAGTTTTGTGACTGCCTAAAAGACAGTGAACTATATTGCTACCTCACGAAACTAGATTTATTTATTTATAACACTAATTTCGCTACAGCTAAATCCTAAGGGAGTTGGCTATGCTAAGTTCAAATAATATTTTGAAGAAATAGAAGAGAAAGCAGTGTATTCAACAAGTGAATAAACGAAAAATGGTGTTTAGTAAAAAAACAGCTACTCAAATAAAATCACCAAGGTGACGCAGTGTATACACTCTCTATCTTCTCTTAAACTATGAGATTAAAATTGCTTCGTATCTGTCTTTCTTCCTGTACTATATCCTTATATGCAACCTTTATTTTATATATTACCACCACTAAATTAACTACCTTTATGAATTTGGTATTCATCTTGTTGTGTTAACGATGTATGGCAACTTGGACGGATGCATAAATTTGCCTGGTCCTACGTTGTAGCTGACTGATTGACCAAGGTATATTTCTTCAGTTCATCTTCCTCTTATGAATCATATAATAAAAATCTGCAGCGAAATTGCTCCATACGTTTATATCAAGACATTTCTAATAACGCTTTAGGCCACTGAACTGCAGAGTTTCTATTATTCAGATTAGGCGGTCTTAGTGAACTCTTCCCACGACTGGACTATGTCACCGCATTAAAAATTCCACTTCGAATATAAATAGCTGAAGTTTATTTATCTCTATAAGTTATTATTTTGAACATCACGTGGACTGCTTAAAACTTCATTATATATATATATATATATATATATATATATATATATATATATATATCGTAACTAATCATTTACTATTCCTTGTTTGGGTAATTTTTCAACCTTTCACATGTGAAAGCGAAGTATATTTAATGAAACCGGGACTAAAAATTGTGGAAACAGTCCGAAGTTGCTCACTATAGTAAATCATTAGTGATTTAGCACCTTAAGAGTCTATATTTGACGTACTTTTGTTCTTTCACATTGTTCAACAGTAAACAGCTTACTCGGTTTTATAATAATTGAATATCCTTGTATCCTTAATTGTATTTAGAAATATTCTTATACATTTGTTTTTAAATTTATTGAATAAATAGCGTTTTCTTCTCGCATGGCGTGCGAAGAAAATTTGCCCGGTCAAACTAGGGACTGGAACGAAGAGCTACAAGTTACGCGTGAACTTCCACAGACACGTCTTACAGAGCGGCTACTTAGAGACCGTGCTATTTTCAAATCAAACAGTGATTTTGTTGCTGCGGCAACTCGTGCTGCAGTTAGCGTAGTAAATGGAGATATTATGGCTATTAACCCGGGAGAAACACGTAAACAACAAATGTTTATCTGGAATAATATGTTTTTCTCACTTGGATTTGACGTTAAAGATCATTACAAACATTTCGGTGGTGAATATGCCGCATATGCTGCTACAGTAAGTTCATCTTGGTGTTGGATTCCTTTGAAAAATATTTTTTATTTTACACTGAATATGATTTTATTATATTTGAGGCCATTTCGTCTTGTGCATTCCTATGATTATACTGAAGTGAAAGTTTAATCAGTAATCATCTTATGAGAAAGTTGTTACATTCTTAACTGCCTTACAGTTCGATTGAGCTATATAGTAAGCACAATAAAATAAGTGAAAGTTTCACCAACAATTAACTTTAATCTGCTTCTCGAATCATGTTCTAAATGTTTTATCCTCCTCATTTCGAGTGCTACTATTTTTCCCGATTCCTTTGCTATTCCTACTGCTAATGTCATCTCATGCTAATATAGTATAGTGACTTAAATCAACGCAAATTCGTTTAAGGCCATTCATTGATTATGACTGACCTTATTTTGCGAAATTCGCTGATATCCACACCTGCTTGATCAAATCCCAGAATAACTTAATTATGTTATGACAAAATATCAATGTAAGAGAAGTTTTAAGCATGGAAATACTTTGATTCAGTTTAGAGGTAACTGTAGCTTAAGAATTCATGTAATTTGTCGAGAATTCGGTTTCAATTTAACACCATCTCATTTCTATACGAACCAACAAATATCTGGACCTTTCTTTTTACTTATATGCTATAATTTTAAATCACAAGTCAGTGGTCCAGAAAATGTAAGTCCTAATTCCATTTTTCTTTATCATTTTAGTCTAGTGATTTGTGTGGAGTACGTGCATATTCAATGCTAGATCAACCTGGATTGTATACTCTTGGGACAGCCATTATTGATTACCGTGGTTTTCGTGTTACCGCTCAAACAATCATACCAGGTGAGACTAACAGTTTTCTGTATAATTTTCAATTGTTGGGTTGGAAAAATGGGTTTCAGCCACTACTCACAATAATTTGGTAAGACGATTTGAAAGGCTCCAATAATATCCTCACAATCCAGAATTAACATTTTTCACAAAACCTTAAACTTTCTTATCGTCGCAACTAAAACATATACATCGTATAAGCCCATAAGTTATCTTTTTGCGCGTGCTTGATAACTTCAGAGTTCTTACAAACACGAAGTGAAATTCAATAGTACGTGATATTTAAGTTCTGTGTAGTTATGCATTACTAATACTAGTTGTTTAATGCTGTATGATTATCACATCTTGTATAAAGGTCATCCGTTTGTTTTCTGTAGGTATTTTGGAGAAGGAACAAGAACAGTTAGTTGTTTATGGTTCAATCGATTTTGGTAAGACAGTGCTCACCGATAAACGTTATGAAGAGTTATTGTCTAAAACAGCTAAACAATTGAAAATCAAGCCACATAAGTAAGTTTTGTACTTTGTTCATCTAACTGTACAGTTTCATTTCATAAAAAACGACAAAGTGTGTTCATTTTGCATTCGTAAAATTGTAGTTAACTAGCGGATAAATTGCCAATCAGATAGTATTTAAAACTAGAGTTTATCAAAGAGCAATGCTCTTAAAACTGAAACAGCGAATGCAGTTACGAAACAAAGTCGACTCACGAATGTAAAGTTTTGAAGAATACTAAAAATTGAGACTACTTGCAAGCCAAAGAATGTGTATGTCAATTGATTTTGACTCAAAACATGCATTCTTATAAGCCTTGATAACAGCCCGCTGTGGTGATCACAAATTACTCAGTTTTTGTTAATAAATGCTTATTTCCTATGCTTTATAGATAACATGGAGTACGTTTTTTTCTAATTCATATTCCAATTGATTGTCACCACTTCTAATTTGCCAATTTTCTGTGTTCCAAAGTAATGTTTTACTGTGTTTGCGGAGATTCCTCATTCCTGTCATCTTTCATAGACAACCAAATCTTTGTTATACTCCTACTTCTCGGATTTTATCACTCGTGAATTATGGTCGAAGCGTTATGTGTGACAGTTGCCTTAAAATCGAGTTCACAATAAATTCCATTCACGCTAAAATAATCTCGATCGCCTTCAGTTTGCATATTAGCGTAGACTCGACCAACCCAAATTTCAAGATTCAACACAGCTACTCATGTGATCTTAGTATACAGATTTATGTTCTACCAATATATATTTCGGATAGGGACTAGCATTAAGTCTACAAACGTATCTTATTGTTTCATTTGTTATTTCAAGTTCAAGCATTTCTACAGGTATTACGAAAAATGCATCTAAACATTGTCGGAACACTGTAATCATATAAACATTAACTAACCATTGTAAATGAAAATGAAATATGGATAGCCTCATATTATGCATCTACAACCTCGCCTTAATCACTAAACGTTAAAGTTTCTGATATCATTCCATGTTGAAAATAATTTCATTTCAAAAGGATCTTCACTAACCACCTATTTACAAAAACCTACATCAGTATATTACTTAAAATCATAGTTGGAACGTGAAGGGTTTTTATTTTATTGGTTTTGGAGCTATGCAATACTTGCGATAAAGAAATCTTTTTCGAACTTTATGTCTAGTTCACATAATTCCACTTAGTCAATCTTACAAATGAATCCGACTATTTATAGTCCTCCTCCGTAGTTTTTTTTAAAAGCTTGATTTTTATAAAGTAGTGGTGATAACAAATAATAACAATAATGCTGGCATAATTATGTTATTTGTTTTGTTTAGTATATTTTAACTACCTTTTTCAAATTCATTGGTTAAATTTACAGGGTTGTCAATCATTCAGGTGATACAATACAGTTATATTCATCTGTGGATTGTAAAGGGATTGTTGGGAATGATAATCGAACTTATATTCTGGATTTATTACGTACTTTCCCACCAGATCTAAACTATTTAGATAATGGTAGTGATATACGACCTCAATTGTCTCCTGAATTGGTGAAATTAGGTTATCCTTATCAACATCGACATATGTTGGCGACTTTAAGACAAGAGTTAATCGAGGCATTTTTTGAGTAAGACTATTTATCTATTTATGTTTGATACTTACACATATAACACTCCTTTGAAAATCATTATTTATGAATTGTGGTACTAAGCTGATTGGCGCGTAAATATCATCGTGTTACCGTCATGTAGTAAGTACTCGCCGTGATGCTCCCTAACATCTATTCGTTAAGAGTAGACTTTTAGTTTTCTTTTTTCTCTCAACCTACTCTTAAAGATAATTAATACTGGAATCTATTGCTTCGTAACAGCTAGGTGGTTGAACCAAGCTATTTGAAATGTAGTTTCTATCCTTCATACTCCATTAACTAGATAGCTGGGGTATGGCCCCCAGTTGAGCAGTCGTGCAGCATCCCAGCCCGCACACTAATCAAATGTTCTGTGGGGCGCATATATGTTTGGTGCCTTCCTGTACCAATGTTTATATGTTTGAATAATAAATAAATATTAGATATTCAACTAGTAGTTTTCTGCATCTTGTAAAACTCAGATATTAACATCCTACCAGTAAATCATTCTCAAAGTTCAAACAAATGTTCACATTTATTATTTCAACTGTTAGGAGTGCATATTGTGGAAATCATTATATATATATATATATATATATATATATATATATATATATAACAGTACAGTTTGCAAAATCTGATTTTAATAACAATATTCACTTATAGTACTCGTTCTAATTACTGTTTACACTTTTTGTCATTGTACATTTATTCAGTTTTTTATAGACCAGCTTCATTGAAGTCTACAAATCTTTAGTTAAGCTGTACGAGTCGATAGTCTCTACTGTTTCAGTTTAATGTTGATAGCTTAATTATAATGTTTAGTCGATCTCAGTCTAAGTAGTAAACTAAAATTAGTTTATTCTCCTACTTTGAAATTATTTTTTGTCTACCTGATATTCGAAATTAACTATCTCGGTTTTATGTCACGGAATAGCATGAAGTGACTGCAGATTAATTAGTACCTTGCTAACGAACTAACCATACCTAATTGGTGTCGTTCAGAAGAACGATGAAAGCTCCACGACCAAACCATCCAGCTCAAAGAACAAAACTCTACCAAAATTCCCTTATGTGTTGGTTGTTTGAATCCTTCGATTGATGTTCAGGACTGCAATTTATCAATCTCTTAGTGGCATATGTGCATCCTATACCGATTACCTCGATAGTACCTTAAGATACAAGCATTGTAAGCGAAAATGGATGGTGGCTAGCAGTGAAATCCAGAACGCACGTTTCGCCCTATTTAGGACTCGTCAGCCAAATATACCATAGTGGTTTTCCCGTGAAAAATACCTAGGCTACCATATCCCTTTGTTGGATTTTAACTGTTATTTGCTTTCAATTTCTCTTTGTACTTAGCCATCGTTATGAAATTTTTCTACGTCTGACTGCTCTAGAGATCCAGAAGAGTAAATCCTCAAAAGGTGAATGTGATGATCAGGTAGGAAGCGTCTACATTTTCTCATTTTTCAGTTCTACATGTTTCCTTTTTTCTACTGTACTTTTACTGCTTCACGTTGATTAACATTTAGGTCAAGTTTTATTCTATTTATCGTTCACTGATCGGTCCTTTTTATGACCACTATGGAATTCAACGAGAAACTGGTCATTCGTCACTGAATTTATCAACCATATGCAATGGAATCAAATCAGCAGTTTGTTATGGTGTTTGGTATCAGTTTATACAAGATTACATTGTTGCATTCCTTTATAAGACAAGTAAAATAGTTAGTCAGTCATTTACAACGTAGGATCAGGCACATTTATGCATCGGTTCAAGTCGTCATACCTCATTATCACAACAAAATGAGCACCGAATTCATGGAAGCAATTACTTCAATGGTAGTAATTTATAAAAAAAGATTGCTTATATAGATATGATACCAGGAAAAAAATCGGTTCGTAGAAATGTATAAAGTAGTTTTAAAGGAAAGTAGCTAAGAGCACTACATAAATAACTAATATTTTTAAAAAGAAGCTCTTTACTATTTTCCTGAGAGCTTCCTTTTTCTCAGGCAATCACTTCGACATGTCAGGAGGTTCTGGGCCACAAGAAGCATCATCACAAGGAATGGATCACTGTTGGTACACTGGATAAGATTGAAGAAAGAAGGAACAAGAAGGCAGCAATCAATATCAATCGAACTAGAACAGAGAAAATCAAACTGTTCTTTTTTGATCTCTTTACTCTGTACATCACTTTAGACTTCTTGCAGCTGACAAGAAATTTTAAACCGATTAAATTCGGTGAATCTTGTTATTTTTGTTTTGTCAAATCAATTTCGTTGTCTTATTTATGATTCGCCTTTAAATGCAATACATATTACTCACGTTAACATGAATTATATTTCATTGTTTGCATTATAGGATACTACTGGTGTGCAAAATAAACAAGCCAACTGTTCAAGCACTAATGATGATCCATTGTCTCCTAAAAATAGTCTAGTTACAACCAAACATCAAATAGATCACCATGATGTTACTGGACACTCCAGTAATGCTTTGAACTCAGGGATTGGGACAATCAAGTCTCCAAGCAAGAATCAATCAGATGATTTAACCCTGATGAAAAAATTACTGGAAGATGATCAAGACACAGAAAAAAGTGATTTGACTTTCATTAATTTTCATCTTCTCTGTTTTAACTCTTTTATCTTGAATATAAATTTCCACAGGCGAAAGGATCTATATTTCTTAAGCTTAGGTATACTTCTTGGTTTAATGAAATTGTATAACTACGTTTGAGACAGTGGAGTGGGGTAGAACTTACGGGGTTTATTATATTCAAAGTTCACTAGTCATCACAGGTGTTACACCATGGAGGACTGGATGGCAAGTGTTTTTTGTCGTTGAGATTAACCCTTCAACAGTCTCCATTCAAAACCTTCGATGCATAACCCAACCTAGGATTTTATAACCTGTCAGCACGCTCCCAACTTCAATAATTCTTAGTCCCTAAACAAAATTAACTTCAATTTTTAGTAGTATGTAGCAGTTAAAGCAGACGATTTTCAGTCAGTAGGTTACAAGTATGAATTATGACTCATCTACATGGGTTTGAGCAGCCAGATAGTAACATTAGTGTTAATAGATTGTTCTTAATAGTTTAGTGGAGATTTTCTTATTTCTAACTAGAAACTGCTTCCCATTCCAATGAAATGAAAATCTACTGCAACTATCCATAAACGCTACTTTGATGGATTGGTAATCGGTTAAGCCTATCGTGTCTAATAAGTTCATCCATATGATCTTGAACTTGTTCTTCAAATTTTCATATGTTCAGAACAGTCAGCTAGATTAAGGTTCAAAGACAAAATTATTGCATTGACAGTAACATTTCTAGTCTAAACGTTTAGCTTTTCTATCGGTTCTGTCTTCTAACATTCGTAAATAAAGCATTATAGTTGTTATTCGCTGGTCTGTTTTTATTTAAACGCCTGTAATCTTAATTTTTCTTTGATATTTTAACATTTATTTTTGTTCAGATGACGTAATTCGAGAAGCTATCCGAAAAGCAGCAGAAGCTGTCGGTTCTCAGAGTACAGAGCGTTTTGAGCTTACATTCAATCCTGATATTTATCAGAAATTTGTCAAATTTTGTGATTCAGAGGTGAGCATTTTTGTGACACCAGCTACATTTCCTATGTGTATAGGCTATGTCGAAGTATGTATAGTAATTATTCAATCTGTTGATCTTTACGTTGGTTGTAAATGAAAAAAAGTTTGTTTATTGGTCTTTGATAAATGGGTGATGCTATCTGGGATTTGAACAGTTAAATTTAAACTGATAGTTGTGAAACTAATTATTTGAAATGTATAGATTTGCATAGTAATTTGTACAGTTTTTCTACTACTTATCTTGTGAAATGTTACAGAAGTGTACCCTTTCCCGTTCCGAATGAACTCGATGCTCAGTGAAAGTTTTCTTTGTTTGTCATTTTTGATTGTTAGGCATGGATGATTGCTAAAAGCGAATTGTCGTTAGTTATTGCACTGCCTTCATTTATATTTCCAGCTGTTAATTTACCATTTAATAGTTAACTCATTCATAACACTTTACTTCACTGAATGGCCCTTAACCCTTCATGTATATTCATACTAGCTGCTAGTTGGACAGTGTTTTTGTTTTTCGACATTCACTTCTTTTGATAAAATTTCTACGTATGTCTCAGACAAAATTTCACTGTTCTTCATCTTAGGAACAATCATTAACAGTTGACCAAGAACTAGTATGCAGTGCTTGTGAATTTTTGGTTCTAAAACAAATTCCAGCATTTGTTAGAGATGCGTTAAGTTTGTGCATCACTCCTCAAGATGGTAGAGCCCTGATAGAGTTAATGCATCAGCGGTAAGTTAAGTGGTATTAATATTTGGCCGTCTAGTTTTTATTACTGTATGAGAGTTCTATATTATGATTAGGAGTTATAGTTTGTTTGCATAAAATATTTTATGTTATGATAGCCGTTTTAAATTGAAAAAAGTCTATTGGGAGATTTACCTACACAGCAAAGAGACAGTCTCGTTTATGATAAGTTACCAGTCTCATTTTATTGAAAAATGACGTGACCCTTTTACTGTAGACTTTGATAACCTTATTCTATCTTCATAACAGAACATACTTTAAAAAGTCTTTTACACAGCATTTATTGTAATCAATTAAAGAACATTTTAATGACTACTTAATTGTACAGTATAATTAACTTAACTGATGCATGTGCAGTGAATCCTCAGGTTTGACAAATGTTAAGGCATATGACATCACTATTTTTGATAAAAATAATAATAGAGTTCGTCATTTCATTCATTTGTGTAATGCAGAGGTTCGGCATCGTGTGTTCGGGTGCAGAGACGATAATTCAATTGGTGTCACCATCTTGAAACACCGACTTCGGTGGCTTGGACATGTTTTACGAATGTCGTCCCAGAGACTTCCACGTCGTGCATTATTTGCCGACCGTGGGACTGGTTGGAAAAAGCGGAGAGGAGGTCAGTGTATGACATGGTGTCGTGGCATGAAAGAGAGCTGCAAAGGGCTAGCTTCTGTTGGTCCTTCACGACTCCTTGGTTGGGGTCCGAGAGATGGTGCAACACAGTGGCTAGAGACGTTATCAGATATGGCTCAGAATAGAAACCAGTGACGATCCTGCTGCAACCTTCTTTTACTTTCTACATAAAGTATGGTTCTTACTTTCCTATTTGAAAGAGTCTTCTGGTTGTACATTTTAGTCCGCCTTATCTTTTCATCCCTTCTCTTCATACTTTCATTATTTTGTGTGGCGCATATGTACCTGGTGCCCTTTTGTACCAATATATATGTGTTTAAATAAATAAATAATAAATTTTGATAAAAATGCAGTATGATTAACAAGCCACTCAGATAATTTATGTTGAGTGAAACCCATATGGTCTTTGCTGTAATGTTGTTTTACCCAGAAACTTTAAATTACTCACATCTTAGATTGGATTATGTTGACTGAAATAAATTTTCAAAATGCTTGAACCTATTTTTCTACGTATATACTCAAATAATAATTCTCCTTGTTTCTTTTTCTTTCACAGTGGCATTAATGTACGTTATTTGAATCGTGTAATCGAGTCAGTCAGTATTCACCAGTCATTAGGTTATCTGAAAGTGAGTCTATACTTTCTGACTATGTGTGTATTCCATATACACCCGTCCATATTTTACATATTAGTGTACAGAACAAGAATATCATATTAATTTTAACTCGATTATTTTCTTATGAGTTATATTATTATTCACGTAGTTACACATTGCTAATTTTTATACTCATCTCTTTTGCCATGAAAAAATTGAATTAGCTAAATTACCAATCAGTAATTACATTTCATACCTGTTCTTTGATTATCAATGATATTTATACAGACAAGTTTGTATATCATAATGCATCCGACAAACTCAAACTTTTATATAGATCGAGTTTTGGGAATTTACAAAATCCTTCACGATACTAAGATAGAATTAATTATGATTTTACTTGTCATAATTGTGTTTATTTCAGGTGTTATCGAAAAGTATAAAATCTTTAGTAGTTTTTGTTGTAGTGAAAATAAGTTTGTTTGTAAATTCACTACAGTAAATAGGTTCATGAACTTATGATCCAGACGTACTTTTCTTTATTAGATTAGATTTCGAAGGAGCGGGGCGCATCGTAATTTCGCCAAATAATCTTGTCTAATTGTGAATTTCCCATGGTATCTGCTGTTTTATGCTGTTTGTCAAGGTGTTTAGTATTGTTCATTTGTTATGTCACTGTTGATCATCCTCACTTTTGTTAACTTGATGTTGTTCAACAGGTTATATTAACTGTTTTATTGTATGTTTCTGTTTATTTGTTTTATCCAGAAAATGGCTATTTGTGAAGTTTTGTTACGGTCTGCGAAACATTTATTTAAAACTTATCTTCAAGATGTTGATCCTATGCTTCTTTCTGTTGGGGTCGCTCATTTTCTCAACTGTTTTCTAACAGCTTGTCCTAATCTTACACCGTTACTTGGGATTGATGAGGTGAGCATATTTGTATGATTGAATTAAGGTAATTGTGTGCGTACATGCATTCAGTTAACTGTACTTGCGTGTAATTACATGTAAACCTGTGCTGCCAGGTAAATGTATTGAATAGTGTTTTATTAATTACTTTTCAATATGACGATTTAATAGTTTCATAAATAATTTGTGATAATTTTGATTATTCCATCGTTAATAGTTTGACTGAAATTTGATCAGTCTTAGTTGGATTATGTACATCCTGTGTGAATTGCTTTAGTATAGCCATTACGACACAAGTTTATGTGAAATATGTTGTATATGGTTAGCAGTATGATCCGGGGCGCACATTCCATCCAACTAAGGAGTCACAAATAGGGCGAAACCTATCTTTGATTCCACTTTTAGCCACATCCCATCTATTTTGTATAAGTTTTAAACACATAATTAACCGTTCAATACAATCGTTTCGTGTTTCCTAGTATCATTTTACCTTTTAATCCAGTTCTCAGTATAATTTCTTTCGACAGCTATTCAGGTTTTTGAACTGGATAAAAACAGCATTTGAAATGGAATATAATACAAATGTGCTATATTTTTCAGATCTCTGTCACCCACTTACAGGCATAATTGAATTATCGAAACGCGAAACATTACAATATAAAATGATCAGAATGATTACTCTGAAAAGAGATTATTTTAAAGTATATAATCTGTTTATTTTCCTTGGGGACCCTAGTTTCAATGTTCCTTCATATCTTTTCATTTCATGTTTTCCAGTCATATTATTTATTTTCATTCACATTACTACATCATTTTGACTCGATTATTTGTTAATTTCATCTCACCCTCCTTATATGATATGCCAACTTTGGTTAAAGCACATTTGTATCAAACTCTGTGTGAATTTCGACTCACTAATATGTACAAATATCCGTCATTAAAATAAACTAATGAATAATAATGCAAGATGTACTTGAAAAAAACGTTGGAACGCTCAACTTTCATAACTATGATACACATTCTCAACTAGTTTATGTAATAGTATCATACCAAAATGTCTGAGTTCATAAACCATTTACTTAAGATAATTGACTATGAATATCAAACAAAAATTCTATTTCTTTGTGAGCAATTTTGAATTATCATTACTATCTTTAATATTATTTTCGAATATATACGTTCATTGATCAATTATTTTCGTTTATCTAATGCCATACTACTTTCTATGATATTATATCTTTGAAATCGGTAATTTAACATAAAAGATTTTTATTTTGTCCTCTTTTACTTCAATGGTAGCAAGTCCTCAAACTGAATCGTAATAAAAAAAATAAGAAGAAATTGAAAAATCTTCGTGAATCACCAGGTTGGTTTGTATTCAGTTTCATAAAGTTGTATTTCATATACACTATGTGGTAATCTCAAGTTATATACAATTGATATTATAACTATCACGTAACAGAATTCAGTATTCATGAAAATAGACTTAATCCCGTATCATATATACTTCGATATTGCCACCTTTACGTGTTACCCGTAGCTTTATAAACTGTGTAGTTACTTGTGACTCCACAGTCTAATCAACGGGTTTGTGTATAAATACACTAAAACAGTTGTATTACGTCATAGTGCATTGTGTTGACAACTGATGGATTCTTTAACTCTATACTATCACACTTAAATGGTTGTTTTTCATTTTGTTGTTTGGTCAGATTGAGTATATCCAACTTCTATTTTTAAATTGTTGAAATATATATTTAACATTTGTCACTGATATGTTAAATATCACTGTACAGAAAATAAATAATTGAATTTGTTTAACGTGGTGTTTCCAACAATTTTTGTATTGTTATTATTTTGTTTTTTCACTTAACAGAAGAAATGGCATGGCTTAATGAAACACATTCCAGTTTATGGTCTGAAATAACTAAAGAAGCTAAGGAATATTATCATTATCAAATAACTGCGTAAGTTAATTGCTCTAGTGAGAAACGACTGCAATTTTGACTTGGTCAATCAACCAGCCATAGATTCTTGGAGTAAACTATTTTAACGTGACGTACAATCTAAGGAAAAACCAAAGCAAATTCAACTGGGCCGTTGCAAACCATGTCACCTATCGTCTCCGACCGTTGATTACAATCACTATGAGAACCTCCTACTAAGTTGTCTACACCTACCTACATGATTTTATCCAGTAGTCACTATCTCCTTGAGCTGTTGCCGTGTCTCGTTTCTTTTCTCCTTGATCTTTCAACCTATTACACGAGACGACATCACGCGCCGAAGTAGACGGTGGTTGAGTTTACGTAACACCATGTTCCAAGTACTTAAGTTGATGAAGTTTTAACACATCAATTAATTTGTCATCTATACCAAATACCCTATGCATAACTTCGACACGGCTCGCTCGGTGGTCACATAATGCACGAGAGATGCTTCTAAGACATTTTTGATCAAATACTCGTAACCTATGAATATTATCTGTTCTGAATGCCCATGTCGATTGTTGTTTTTCGACATGTTTTTATTCTGTTACCAACTAGTTCCTTAATGAACGTCAACATTGTGTGATACCTTGAATATGCTTCTGCAATTTAATTTATTATTACTATTATTATTGTCATTATTTATTATCATTATCATTTTATTGTCCTTGAATGCAAGCATCAGTACGGAAAATTCGGACTGTATGATTAATCACGGCTATGAACTATTTACCGTTTCATGGTGATTTTGGTACTCATTGAATAGTTTCCTTTCTTATGATCACTCTACAGTTTCTGTGTAATTTTTCATGTAAAAGATTTTCAGTTTGGTGTTGTGGAAATCATTGAATTTCATCTTTATCATGAACCGGTCAATGTCACCACCATCGTGGATTGGTTGAAGTTAGACATCAATACCTTAGTATGCCAGCTCAATGGTCTAGAGGTTAGACGTTCACTGATGAGGCATAAGGTGTTGATTTCGAATCCCTCGTATGGGATCGTGGATGCGTACTGCTGAGGAGTCCCACACTAAGACGAGACGGCCGTTCAGTGCTTCCAAGTTTTCAATAATGGTCTAACTTTTATCGACTCATGATTGCTTATCGCCTTGAATAATTCTAATGAAAAGTGGCGTAAAATATTATGGCATTAATTTGTAATTCCAATCGTTTGTTTACAGCTACACAACACTTGGTGTGAACTATAAACTTTCATATGACCTCCAATACATTTAGCGAACACTGGTTTCGAAACGTAGAAAGATACTATCTACCAATAATTAACAATTAAGTAATAAGTACTTATTGGTCCGGGCATTTATTATGAAAATTAAGAATAAACAGCAGTTGTCGAAGCAAATGAAATCTGTCAAGTTAAATAATTTATCTAATGAAGTCTCTCTCACTATGCATCTGTCTTGTGTAGTTTAAATTTTCTACGATTTCTGTTGACCCCTCATTGTTTATTTTTGACATTTAAATTAGGTCAGATAATGCATTCAGTTCTTTCGTAAGAAAAAATCATTCTTAACATTCTTAATCAATTCTTTTAATAAAGTTGTAATTTAATTAACCTTTGTATATGTTTACATTTTTCGCACGCATATTGGACAATGTTTGTTTTTCTTTTCCACATATCGTTTGTAATAATTGGTTTTTTTCTTTCAATCTATCCATGTTTAGGTCAGACATTGATGAATTCTGTAAAAGTTATGAAGTTCAACGTATTCAACTTCTTAGAACATTTTGTACATCTGTTGGTATTCAGCTACTTTTACGTGAGTATAATCTCAATCTACCGAATGGTGTTAAACATCATCAAAAACCAGTATTTAATACTGAAGATATAATATCTCTTTATCCAATAGTCAAACATTTACATCCTCATGCAACTGATGCTTATCATTATTTTACAACTGGTCAAGCTCGGATTTCTGCTGGTCATCTTCAAGAAGGTTTCGAGTTAATTAATGAAGCTTTAAGTCTTCTGAATGGTGTCTATGGTCCTCTTCATCCTGATATTGGTGCTTGTAATCGTCTTTTAGCTCGTTTATCTTATGTTATGGGTGAACATGAAGCTGCAATATTATTTCAACATCGTGCTACTATGATTAGTGAACGTGTACACGGAATTGATAATCCGAATACAGCTACTGAATATGTAGGTTCTTTATATTGTTGAGAGTTGACATTTTTTTCAAAAATGTAATATGTAAAACCTAATGATAAGTAATATAAATGTACAACATGCTATTTTTAAAGAAATTACAGGTTCACCCCAATTGCGAACGGAACGAAGACTCAGCGACACAGTGACCAGATAAGCTAACTATTCCGACGCTTCATAGCCCTGCTAACTAGGGAGAGAAGAGGAAAAAATGTATTACACAAGCAGCCAGAAGCATGAACAAACACAATTGAAGCATACAAATACAGCATAAAAATGTCCTTGAGGGACGTTACAAAATAGCATATTAAAAGAGACAGCAAACCAATGACATTTAAGGTCGTTCCAAGTAGGAAATATGATATAGAAGTGAAAATAGGCGCTTTTGGCGCGAAGACCAGAAATTCAAATTTCCAAAATAAAATTACATAAATAAGACATTTACCAATTGAGTTCTGGGTATCTATCATCCTTAAAACAACAATACTAATAATTAATTAGTTACGACCAAGGGGATTTGTGGAGATTTTAGTATCTTGACAATGTAATTCACCAGTCGATCTAAGCTAGACCAGTATTGAAAACCTGGAAGCCCTGGACGGCCGTCTCGTTCTACTATGGGACTCCTTAACAGTGCATCCACGATCCCACAAACCGGGCTGGAACCCAGGATCTTAGGTTTCACGCATAAACACTTTACTTCCAAATCACTGAGCCGGCATCCAACGGTGTTAATGTTTAACTTCAATTGATCGATGATTTTGCGCAACCCTTCATCCGTTGTCTGAAATGGATAATTGTCTCACACCCGGCACGGATTGGACTCCACTGGTCACAGCTTAATAGAAAAAGTCTCTTATCTGAAATATTAGTAAACGAGCTTTTATGAATAAGTCTTTCTTAGTTTAGTTTTTTGTTGTTGGTAAATTAGTTTTAAGATATCAATTGTTAAGTTCTTCAAACGGCTACTTCTAAATATTCTAACAATATACTTGCAATGGTATTTATGTTAAATGTCATTACCAAGTTATGAGAATTACCTCATTTTTAAAAAAAAAGGATAATAAGTATTTGGATAATTGTTGCAACAAGTTTATTTTAAGGTAAAACGATTCGGTATTCAGCCCCAATTCTTGTCTTTAATATCCGTTATCACAGATGCTAGTTTACTGACCGATTTCCCTTTATGCTAACGGTCATTAGAAAACTCATTCCCTCTATTCTTACTCTTAAGCATTTTCAATTCTCTCCTTATATATGCATGCAATAACCAAAGTTCTCCGATCAACGCGTGGTCAATATAAACGTATTTCGTATATGCTCCGTTGTGTATTTCGGCCAGGAGTATAGTAAGCAACAGTAAGCAAATTTATCAGTTAAACCAACTCATCCTTCTCAATAATTTTCTCAAATCAATTTACCTGACTTAACGAACTGTAACTTAATTCTGTAATCCACTTACAGAATGATTACTTAACAAGTATACTGCATACTGTAATTTATAGATTTATATTGATTTGTTCCAATTACTTTATTTCTTCCTATCGTGTAGATACATTTCTCACTTTATGTATTCGCTTGTGGACATATATCTACAGCTTTACAATTACTTTATCGAGCTCGTTACATAGCACTTTTATGCCATGGTGAATGTCATCCTGAAATAACACAAATAGACGTAAATCCTATTTATTTTATTTATTTATCGTGCTTCATAATGTTCATCATAACTGTTGTTCACAGTTATTGTTTTCTTATTTCTCCTTTTTTAAATAATATCATGGTTTAGTAATAACAATTATAGACTGTCTGTTATAACTTACGGTTATTCTGAATAACAACATTTGGAAAATTCTTTCAAAGGCGTATATTATCTATGCAAACTAGATAAACTGGGTGATCACCACACACCTCAACAATAAACCACCAATCTTGGCTGAGAGTGAGTTCAATAATGTAAGAGAAAACTTGTTATTCAAATAAGTAAATGTCCTAGTGGAACTAAGACTGTCTATATATCAGTAAATATGACCTTGGAACACACAAAAATAGCAAACTAAGAGCGAAAAAAACTATCAGATGACAACAAAAATCAGTGGGAAGAGATAAATTGGAGGAAAGATACTCCGACTGTTCTCTACACATCTGTTAGCTGGATATAGATTGGATTAAGGCATGTTCCATTCAGGATTGCGTTGGATCACTTTGATTGGTTATTTCTTAGCTAACAAATACTCTAGAATTATTTCGTGTAAAAATTATAAACATACTAACGCTTTTCTATTGTGATTCCTACTTCCATTCAACACTTTTTAATATTTAGAATAAAATTGCATTCCCATTCAACCTTTTTCTGATTCGAGGATCTGTTGAATGAAGTAAAACCTCCAAACAGTAAATGTAGTAGCTGAATCACAATAAAACTAGATCATAAAAACATACCAACTTCCTATTATTTACAATACTAGTTAATTTAACAGGGTTTTTTATTATAACTTCTGTTATTTGAATTGAATTGATCTCTTATTGTTCGTTATTCTTTATTATTTTAGACTAATATCGGTTTAATGTTACAGTTGGTTGGTGAATTAGATTTAGCTTTAATCTTTTTCGAGAATGCATTGTCTTTGATTAAATTGTAAGTTGATTTAGTCCACATTTTTGAAAACCTTATCTATTAACTCAACTTGAAATATAATTTGAGAGTAAATTGACAATTAGCTTATTTGACATATGGTGATTTTTATTCTCGAATAATAATACTGATTTTAATATGCCAGAACAATATTTTCTCTTCGACTAATTTTCTTGTCTGCTTATTGAAGAAGGTTTACTGTAACAGAGCATTATCTTGATGGTTTTTTTTCTCTGAGCTGGATGGTGTGGTCGTGGAACTTTCATCGTCCTTCTGTACGACATCAGCACAAACTACCCGAAGTTTGTGCTGATGTCGTACAGAAGGACGATGAAAGTTCCACGACCACACCATCCAGCTCATAGAACAAAACTCCATCAAAATCATCTTGAGCTACAAATCTTCGCCATCTCAAGAGCATTGTAAAGTTGTTCCACTTGTGTATGTCAATCATTGTAGGTTCATTTGTTTTGAACTAATGATTGATGGCTATACGGCTATCTTAATTACTTGAAGAAAAAACTGTAAAATTTTACTTTAAATGTTAATATTCATTTCATAGTTTAAGTGTATTTACATCTTATATACATAAATAACTCCTCCTCAATGTCATAACTCGGGTAGATTGAAAAAAGTTGGTGTCATTACTGTAGTTTTTTTCCCTCGAACTAAGTAATTAAAGGCAGGTAGTTGTAAAAGCTTTTGTTTTCTGACTGTTGACTAGAATAAAATAATGTCTCAAAATGATTGATTTTGTTAACTGTTGAAATGATTCGAGAAATTAAAGTCACATACTGCAGACAAGTATAATTTAATCCTTTAATTAAAGTCAGTTTTCTAGTTTAAATAGAAGAAAAATTCACTTCTGTTGAAAGTTTCTAGTTATCTAATAAATTTGAAGTATTCAGCGCCCATATAACATTCATTAACTATAATTTTTTATGTTTTAGATTTTATGGTGAACGGAATTTAAAAGAAGCTTTCACTTGTCATTTGATTAGTCTTACGTATACTTATCGTGGCGATTTTCGTACTGCTCTTGATTATGAAAAACGTCGTTTTCTAATATATAAAGAACGTTTAGGTCCAGATAGCGATTATACTAAAGATAGTGATGAATGTTTACGTCAACTTACCCAACAAGCTGTGACAATTGCACGTAAAGTAGCTGAACTAACGACAACTGCCTCTGCAACAAAGTCAATTGGAAGTGGTGATTCTTCTTCATCCAGTAGTCATTTGAATTCACATTCAATTACTAACCATATTTCTATCAGTGAATCACTTGTTGCTAAAGCAGTTTTATCAAATGCGTTCGGTGGTGGTGTTAGTGGGAATGCTAGTACTACTGGGGGTAGTAGTAGTTCATTAACTTTGCCTATGCCAACTGTTTCTTCAATTTTAGAAACTCTCAATCGTGTAAATGGAATATTAGTGATACAAATAAGGTAAGCCAACAAAAATTTACTTTAGTTATCATTGCAATTGGAATTAATGTAGCTTTGTATATTTTATTTATTTATTTAAACACATAAATATTGGTACAAAGAAGCACCAGATATATATGCGCTATACAAATCTCATTCGATTTGCTTGAGGGCTGTGATACTGCCCAGGTGCCCGAACTGAAGCAGTTGGTTTTCTTAGGGGCCCACACCCGGATCCTTTGACCGAAAGGTCTGATCCACAAGGCAGTGGAGCATATTAAGGAGATGCAGTCCCATGGTAGTCGGTGATCAATGATTGATTCGTACGCCATTTGTTCCCTCAGGATCCTGGAGCCCATGTGCACCATTGGTTTGAAATCAGGGTTTTCCATCTCTCCTAGGTGGACTCGCCTTGTCCACCAACCCGGTTAAAGCGCCGGACATTCGCTTTTCGTCCTCTCAATTTCGTAAACAACACCACCGCCACGAGAAGGCAGTGAGTAGGACTTCACTGACAGAGGCTGTATATTCGCTGGCCATGGGAGAGCAAACTTCCCACTCTCGGCCGTACCAGGGCATTTGGGGGCCTATGTTCGAGGTATTAAGATATCACCCAGGATTGGCGAACGGAGCGAAAGTCAGCAACACAACAACACGACAAGCTAAGCTACTCCACTGCACCTCAGCCGTGCTAACTAGAAGGAGAAGACCAGATTCAGCCGAGAAAATATATAATTCCACAAGCAACCCGGAAAAAAGAACAACAAACACACAGCTTATATATATATATATATATATATATATATATATATATATATGATATACAAAAAAATGTCCATAGAAAGCGTCACAAAATATCTTACTTTAGTACGCCAATTACATTTAAGGTGAGAAACACGACTAAAGGTAAAAATGAGTGCTTTTGGTGTGAAATTGAGAAATTCAAATCTAGCATCCCCAACAATATATATATATATATATAACTTGCATAACTTCTATAGTTATGAATTTAATTTATTTATAGTTATTGGTTGAAGTTGGACATTAACACTGTTGGATGCCGGCTCAGTGGTCTATCGGTTAAGGGCTCCGGCTCGAGACTGGTAGGTCCTGGGTTCGAATCTCGCGAATGCGGGATCGTGGATGCGCACTGCTGAGGAGTCCCATAATGGGACGAAACGGCCGTCCAGTGCTTCCAGGTTTTTGATGGTGGTCTAACTTCAATTGACCCGTGATTTCAACTATGAAAATACTAAATTCTCCACAAAACCCACTCTGATTTATTCATAGTTGTCAATTTGCATGACGCTTTAATTTTCTCATCTTTTACTAAAATGATTGTTTCAGTTAATATTAATTCAGTTTGAAATTGTTTGAATTATCCCTTTGTTAATATTTTGACAGAAATTCGATCAATTTCGGTTTTGGTTATGTGCATCTTGTACAGACTACCTTGTTATAGGTATTCGACAAAAGTTAATATGGAATAAATGGACTCAGTAGCTGAATGGATGACAGGTTATTTGAAGGGAGCGGTACTGTTTGAGTCGCCGAGTGCACATCAGCTCACAGATGCATGTTTGCGTCCTGACTCCCATTATTAGTGTGGTGTGGGCTGCTTATATCCACACGAGTAGTATATAACGATGATCGGGCGTTGAATGTATTTCAGTAGAAGATCGATAAGGAAAGAACGGAAATGAAACGCAACTGGTACGAAAATGCATGAACAATAATAATCGGAGACTATGGACTGATATTTACAGAAAGAAGGGTCAAGATTGAGACAATTGATTTGATAGTTTGCAAATTAACTTTTTTACTGTATGGTTGTCAGATTTAAGTGAGATAGTATGTGTATCAAATACATTCGATTATCCCCACTCGTTTCCTTGTTCACTGCACTAGCCACATTTAATTTCTTCAGCATTAACATACTTAATATTATTCTTTCGTATGTTGTTCAATACTTTTGACGTACTACCGATTATTTTTTCACTCCAAAATGTAATGTTTCACATTTTTTGCAGTTCAAAAGTAATAAATACCAGTGGCTCGTTAAGATCTTCAGATACTCATTATTTCACAATTCATTTAATTATTTTTCCTATCAACCTCCACTTATTTTCACAACTCACTAATTGATCCATATGTCATTGCTCCACTTTATGTTTAATTTCAGTCACGATCACTTTACTGTTTGTGTTATGTCTGCTTAACCACTGCTAACCTCATTGGTCAGTGACATTGGCCGTTATAGGAATAAGTTCGAAGGAATCTAGGGGCAGTCAAACTAAAATGTTACGTTAGGGCTGATATGGCTCAAAATTAGTCGCAGTGGCTCAGATGCATTGTTTTTCTCTCTCTCTCTAGATATCGGGTCCCAGTATTCCTTGGGGTAATGTATATTTGTCTTAGACTGATTTCACTGTTTACAACCAATGCTTTTTTATATTTCATTCTATTAAATCTCTGTATTTTTCTCCTTCCTGTACTCTTCAGAGGAAAAGATGACAATCAACATAGTCACGAGGAAGATAAAAATCTGTCAACCAATAAATCTGATCTTACAGAACCACATGTTGTTATATGTGATAAAATTCGGCAGTCGAAAAACGATATCCATCTATTGTCACCATCATCTAATGATAATAAATCGCCGAGATCTTTTCCCACCTCATTAAATAACAATGATGTGAACAAACCTGTTATTCCAGTGTTGTAGTAGCGTTAATGTTTTCAATTGATTTGACATACTAATGATGATATTAATGATTATGAACTAATTATTATTTCAAGGATGGGATATTAAAACCAAAACAAAAATAAGAACAGAATATTTCCAATTCTTGTCGAAATTAGCCGCATCCAATATCATTTTAATCATCTCAGTTACATTTCTATAATTCTTTTAGGGTGAATGAATACAAATTAAAAAAAAATTCAATTCAAAACGTTACTCTTCTCCGTGTTGCATACATATTATAATTTTAGTTCAATAAATACCGAATTCCTACAATATAACTAAACTCTTGTTGTATACTAACTGTTAGTCTTCCTATTTTCCCTTTTTTTTCTATACATATATATATTGTGTTTATAATTTATGTATCATAGTTTAGATGAACAGTTTTAGCTTTATCTTCTGTCTTTTGTATTCTTTGACTGAAAGAAAATACTTTTTGTACACATTATACTTGCATTACTGTCTTGTGTTAATGCATATACAAATGTACGTAGAATAACTTATTGTTTCAGTGTGTGTGTGCGCAATGAAACCATATTAGTTTGTAGATTAGTTAAGTAATTCTGCCCATTTTTGCATTTTAAAAGAATATTCAGTTTTACATCTTTTGTTTCTTAAATAAAAAACATAATCCAGGATATCAATTTTTCTTCTCTATATTTTTGACAGATGATAACGAAGAATGGGGAGTATGAGATAATTCAATATCTCAGTTTAAGTACATGTAATTCCTTCCCAGTTCACTTCCGTGCCAGTTGCTATTGTGCGTAAGAGTAGACGGTAAACAATCCCAAGTAATACATAAGATTTTAACAAGTGACTTAACACTTCTGTTTAGTACTTTATACTTGACTTTAGAATTGTCCTTGCATTTCAGTCTTTCAATTACTGTGCATAAATTTATTTCACCAATTGCCCAAAAACGTTTGAATTCTAGTTCATAAATTATACATGAATTCCAGTTGAATCCGCTTACATTGAATTTCACTGAACAGTGTTCAGCTAGTAAAACTTCATTTTATTGTGATTTCAGTGGGATGTTGTACGCTTCTTACACTGTAAATTTTACGCTAAACTCTCAAACAAGAGATATATTATCCTATCAATATTTCTCATTCCAATTCATTGAAAGAGCTACTGAAATCTTTACACTTACATGATTGTCTATAGTTCGAAACAATAAGCGACAGAACCATAACTAAACGAACTTGAGAAGTACGTTTTATAGTTTAGTGTTCAATGACCATTGACAACGATCTCCAAAAGTTAATATGAATAGTTTAAGCTTTAACATCACCCCTTATTGTTCCTTTTCGATGGTGTATAATATAGGTGTGTAACATAATTAGCAAAATAGTTCTATTCACTTCAGGTGTAACAGCCAAAAAGTATCTACCGCGTACTGTCACAAAGTAATTCATTGACCTGTAAAAATTGTTCAGGGAGGCGTTTTGCGAGAAATTTCATGCCCATATCTCCTGTTATCATCTTGAGGAAAGCAAGAACACAGATTTTAGCAGAAAAACATGAATTCACTTTGTTTCGTTTAGTTCTCGTTAGCTGCTTACAACCTGTGATATTTAAAAGTCATAATTACAAAATGGGTTCAAACTACGTGAAAATTTTTAGTTGGAAGTTATTTTAACGACACATCAGTGTGATATAGCAAGGATGTAATTAAATTAATAGGCTGAATAAGGTATTGTATATATATATATGTATATATATATATATATATATATATATATATATATATATGATATCCTGTGGAGAATTATGAATGGTAGCTGAGAACTATTTATGGACCAATGTGATATGGATATTTCCTATTATATAATTGTTAAGTAACTAAAGTATCCATATTCGTGTCCCTCTTATCATGAGCTTTATTTTCACCTACAGACTAGTATTATACAATTTACCATTCTTGAGTTATACGCAGTCTATTAATTACTGCTCCCCCTATTCACAGCCACATTTGGCCAAATTTTGTACAAATGTTACTTTCTACTTTATGGTACGATATAGTCTGCTTGTCTGGTATATAAACCCAGTATGTTTGTGAATAGTGATTCATATTGCCGAGGCTGTTATTGGTGTTCTGGGCTAGGCAGAAAGCAGGACTGACAAGTACTCAAAACTAGTCGTACGGTTTTTGTGTGTCATTGCTGCGATCGATAATTCGCTCTTCTCTCATTGACGGGTCTTATCACGTTCACGCACGCACCCAAACGATATAACAATATATATATAATCCAAAAGGACATTCTACAACATTGGCTGTAATAAGAGTCCAAAGGGCTAGAAACAAGTGGTTGCGTAATGAGTAAACGCTCATAATAAGCAAGGATAAAATGAGTAAACGCTCATAATAAGTTAGAGTACAGTGAGTAAAGTTCAGCTAATAAACTATGATTACTAAGCTACACAAGACAGTTGGAATAAAAAGATAAAATTATTTAATTGGATGAAAAAGCTGAAAAAAGGTTTTTAAGATGCAATGAATGAATATTTATCATCAAGGCAAGCAAAGATTAATAACCATCTTTTGAACGTAGAAGTCAGGTTTTCTACGCCTAATAGCAACGGCTACAGAGAACTTGAGCTTGGCTGTTTATCTATCACTCTGAAGGATTACATGATACCAACTTGATATCTTGTATCCAAAACATGTTTATTAATTGCACTGTGTAAAGTCATTCTTACTCTTGTTCTAATGTTTTTTTTTGAACATCTTCAAAAAGTCTAAGATATGCCCTACTTTCTGTTCCGCCAATGTATCTGCTTTGGCAGATACACGTAGATTTATAAACACAATTGGTGGCAACATGAAGGGGATGCTTATCGACCCTTGATTGGATTATTGAACATGTTGTTTTATACAGAATACATAGTTGGTCTGGTGGGTAGGTTTTGACTCATACAGTGTAGAGCCTCTTACTGGCGGTGTCATCATCTTTGAAGTTGAGAATAAATATTGTTTTTTATTGACTATAGTCCTGCCCGTCTTGTTTCCTTTAGGTTTCTTTTACATCCGTCAATAAACTTCTGTGTTTACCAGTTTCCTCTGAGGCATTTTACATCGTTCATCAGTTTTTCTTCCAATTATTATAATAAGTATAATCTAAGACCTGGCGGCTTATAACTGCCTTATATTTATGATTTACTAAAGCTTCACAAACAGTATGTCCCTCCTAGACTTATCCATTCAATTCACCCTATCACATAGTTGCACGCTAGCTAGCAGAGAAGCTAGAACTAGTCCGCTCTTCGTAAATTATAAGCCTGAACGGAGTTGCTGAATATTCCGGTTGAAATCCTATTATATTGTTACCTTCAGACACCCTCCGATTCCTGAGTATTCAACGCGATGTCATTATTTAGTAATTAACAGTGTATATATTGTAATGTGAGAAGTGTTCATTTTTATCTCAAGGTAACATAGTTGTGGTGATGTATATCAGAAAAGTTAACATGTGTTATATGGTTTACGAAGTTTCTCCAACTGTCTTTTGTTCATTTCGCACTTCCTTCATTCTAAAGAAACTAACTACTAACGAGTAGTAAACTGACACATGTTAAATATTTAAGTTGCTATTCAAAACAGTGAATTTACAATTGATTGATCACTGGGTGGTGATCAATGTCAGGTACTTCTTAGTGCAAATCGAATCTTATCGACCAATTTTTAATGTGGCTACTAGTCTACGTGACTCGACATTGCGTGCACTGTGATAAGATAAGATGGTGGTTGGAGTTGGTCAACAGAAAACCCTGGACCTAGGTTTCGTGCTACTTGGAACCCGTCATCAAGGTGTACCTGTAATCTTAAGGATAATGATGCTCCATGAAGAATTGAAGTTGGCGTAATCTTAACAATTTGACTAGGAAACCGGTCCGAGCTTATTCAAGTTAGCCATTCAAATCCTAAATATCATAGTTAAATCAATATGAGCCTTTGTCCGATCGAGTTTAAAGTTTGTTCTCTGTCTAAAAAGAATATGAGTGATATAGAGTGATCAGTATTGAGAATGTGTGTATTAGCAACTATTGATTCCACCTTCAGTTGTCTAAGTCTTTCTCCTTTGAATATAGAAACACATTCACGAAATTTAAATTCATAGACTCAGTCATCATGTTCCACTTTTAAAATCTAGTAATTGCCAACGAAAATAATTTTGTAATGTATTTAAAGAATGCTTTTGATTCATTCATATGTATCATCATGTTACGAGATGAATAACCTATTTCAGTGTAAATTCTTTTAGATGAAAAAAAACCTGACAACCAGATGAATCAACAGAAAGAGAAAAATCAATGTAAAAAAGCTGTAAAAACAAACAAATTAAAACTAAAAATTGTATCGAAAACGACGAAGACCGCGATGAAGAAAATATTCTTCAACATGGTTGTAAAACGTGATGATCAAGAGAGCACAAAATCAACATCGGAAACATTTCTGGAAATATTCTTCGCAATCGACAAAAATCATGATGAAGAAATTACAAAGAATCAACTGAAGAGATATTTTGAAACTAATCATCGAGATGATCATCTAATTGAGGTTAGTCGAAATAAATCATTATTAATGTATCAATGTTTGCAATTACACATAAGTAATGTACTGTTTTGAAAAGTGTTGAATACCTGAACAGCTAGTTGAGTAATACAGGAATTAATCATTCGAATGAAATGAACTATGATATTTAGAGAGTGATCATCACAAAGTTAATTCATATAGGTCTCTGTCTAGAACTGGTGCCTAGTAAACGGAACTTTGTTCAATGATTCTTTAAGAAAGGTATCAATGAGCGCAAAACGTGGTTTGTAGACTACAGAAAATCATTTATGAAATGTTATTGAGGAATAGCAGTTTGAACGGATGTTGGAGATAACGCACGCATCTGTGATACGAGTCCACAACCCAACACGAGAAAAACACTCAATACATGTAAATCACCCACAGAGTACACTGTTAT